CTGATCAAAATTTCAATTTTAACATCCTGTTATGCATATATTTTAAAACTGACAGAATTACAAAGAAAAAAGAGGCAAATGTAACCTGAACAATAAAGATTTAATAAAAAAAAAAGAAAAAAAATATTAATATGAGAATTATTATTAGCAAGAATAACCAAAGAATGGTCCAAAATAAGGAAACTAAAAGCCCAGATAAAGTAACAAGTCCCAAATCACAGATGAGTAAATGATAAAAAGATTTTAATCTGACTCCAAAGAATACTTTCTTAACCCCTCAAAATGCATGAAGTTTCAGAGATCAAAGTTTCATATATGCTTTTTGGAAAGTCTTTCAAAAATATTTGAGCCCACTCTCCTGGGCTAGTAAATGAAAAACTGACTTATTAAAAAAAAAAAAAAGGATGAGGTTATTGCTGTTCCACAGAGGCTTTATTATTCTCATAGAGGAGCACAGTGTGCGGATGGAAGACTTTGAAAAGTCTTAGTGCAGCCCTGTCACTGCTTCTATCGCCTCATGACACAGAGGTGGCTCCTCGGTGGCCACTGCTGTGGTTCTTGCCAATTAGTCACAGAGGATCAGACTATTGCAAAACCTGACCCAGCTGAGCCAGAAAGATTCTCCCAGAATTATTTAACCTGCACAGTAAGACCAGACTGAATTCATAGAGCATGATGACAATTAAGGCTGCGCTCTAGTCCAGAATAAAAGATCTACATGCTTCTGCTACTGAGTTCTCAAGAGCTGTCCTCCTGAGTCCTGTCCTCCCCAGAACTTTGAATCTGAAAACAACTCCAGTGTATGTCCAATAAACATTTTGTTTGTCTTCCTCTTTTTACACAGCCACGATAGGTTTTCATGCAACACAAAGACCCTTTAATAACATAAATGACTAAACAAAGAGTGAACACCTACAAAATAATGAAAAATGCCTATTACTTTCTACAACAAATTCAGACAACCCACACACTGCATTTTCCAGAGACTGTGCCAATCCACCCTGCAGCTTTATTGAGATGTAACTGACATATAACGGTGTGCAAGTTTAAAGTATAAAAGTGATGATTTGCTATATGTATGCTGTATATTGCTAAATATTTACTACAATAGGGTTAGTTAACAAAGCCATTACTCATATAGTTTCCATTACTTTTTGTGGTGAGAACTTTTAAGATCTACTCTCTTAGCAACTTTCAAGTACATAATACAGCATTAATTATAGTCACCATGTTGCATATTAGATTACAAAATATACCTTATATTGATCTTACCATTTGGCCACTTTCACCTATTTTCTTTCACACATAACCCTCCATCTCAGGCAACCTACTGCAATCTACTCTCTGTCTTAACAAGTTCCAATTTGTTTAGATTCCACATATAAATGCAATCATATAGTATTTGTCTTTTTTCTGTCTGACTTATTTCACTTAGCATAATGCCCTCCAAGATTTATCCATGTCACAAATGACAGGATTTTCATCATCTTTGTTAAAACTGAAATATATATATATATATATATTAAAAAAATCACATTTTTTTTATCCATTTACCCATCAATGGACATTTAGGTTGTTTTCATGGTTTGGCTATGGTTGCAGTGAACATGGGGGTGCAGATATCTCTTCATGATAGTGATTTTAATTTCTTTTGGATACATACCCAGAAGTAGGATTGCTGGATCATATAGTAGCTCCATTTTTAAATTTTTTGAACAGCCTCCATAATGCCTGCAGCAATTTACACTCCCACCAACAGTGCACAAGGGTCCCCTTTTCTCCACATCCTTGCCAGCACTTATTTCCTGTTCTGATAACAATCATTCTGTGTAAGCTGATAAACACTGTGATTCTGATTTGCATTTCCCTGATAAATAGTGATGTTGAGCACATTATCACATATCTGTTGACTATATGTCTTCTTTGGAAAAGTATCCATTCAGGTCCTTTGCCCATTTTTTAAATTAAGTTGTTTTGTTATTGAACTGTATGAGTTTCTTACGTATTTTGGATACTAACCCCTTAACAGATATATTATTTACAAATATTTTCTCCCATTCCATAGATTCCCTTTTTATTTCATTGATTGTTTTAAGACTATGCTAATTTCAAGTATTAGTTCCACGTAAGCAAAATCACTTAAGATTTCTACTCTATTAAGTTCTGACAGACAGACTGCTTTTCCCTAACAAAAATCCCCCAAATTCCTTTTCATATACTGAGTGCCTAACTGTGCCTGGGAAATACATTTACTGAAACTGTAGTAATCATATTACCTAGGTTTAAAAAACATGTCCTATCAGAGTTTCTCTGTCTTTATATTCACCTCTTTGTTGTACAATTTGAAATTACTCTTCCAAGATGGTAGTAAAAACAAAACAAAACAACAACAACACACTAATAGAAACAGGTGCCAAATCAGTCCTGGATTTGATGCACCACTAAGAAGTAACTGTCCGAGATCTCCAGCGTAATAGAGAGATTTTGAAGATTTCAATACGTTTCCTCTTTCTACCCTTTGCTGCCTTTTCTTCCTGTCCTCCGGTAAGACCCCTCTCTACAGCCTGTTTTTGAAGATTAAGAATCTCTTGCATTTACAGAGTGTTTTTCTTTCATGAACGCTTCACACTATTATCTCACCATAATGCCATAACTGCAATAAAATTAAAATACGCTGGTCAGGCATTATTTTCTTTATATAACAGGTGAGGGAGGAGAATGAGGCTCAGGAGAGATAACTGACATGAAGATACATGAGCCAGTATAGGCTGAGTGGGAACTCTATCAGGTTTGTGTAGCCTTCAACAAAGCACCCCTTTGTGAATAACACCCTGAAGACAATCCACAGCTGTCCCCAATCCCAAAGTTCCTACCAAGGCATCAGTCCTAAAGGAAATTTACATTTTTCATGTTACAGAGATGCTGAGCATAAAGAGTACTTCTATTAAAAAATAATTCAAATTAAATCAAGTCACTCTACTATATCCCATCTCATTCTGAGAAAAAGCTATATTATTAAACTAAGGGCCCAGTGCACCTTGAAAGGAACTGTGGGCCGTGAGGCTATGGTGGGCACAGGGGCAGGTCTCGGCCCATCCTCCGTGCCCCTGCCGGGCGCCTTCCGCTGTGGACCTAGTCCCTTCTGCCAGCAGCCCTGCGCCTGCCGCTACTGCTTCCACGTGCTTACGGCATCGGCCTTGCTCGCACCCTTGCACCCGCTGATGGTGTGGAGCGATTGGGGCCAGCGCCAGCAGCGGGTGCAAGTGGCTGCTGCTGCCTCGATTGCCCCTCAGGAGCAGGGGGAGGTGGAGAAGCCCTCAGGGGCAATCGGGACCTGTCCAAGATCACTAAAATTGCTAATTTGTGCAAGCCTAGTGCCTGAATTTGAACATAAATCTGTGCAAGCCTAAAGTCCTGTTTTTCATTTCACTGCTTTTTCAGTCTGTATAGGGTTTCCTTTTGTTATTTTTATGTTGAGAAGAAGGAGAACTTACTAATTCAATGAGTGACTGAAGACCTAAAACAGTGATGGCGAACCTATGACACGCGTGTCAGAGGTGACACGCGAACTCATTTTTTTGGTTGATTTTTCTCTGTTAAATGGCATTTAAATATATAAAATAAATGTCAAAAATATAAGTCTTTGTTTTGCTATGGTTGCAAATATCAAAAAATTTCTATATGTGACACGGCACCAGAGTTAAGTTAGGGTTTTTCAAAATGCTGACACGCCGAGCTCAAAAGGTTCGCCATCACTGACCTAAAAAGTCAAATAGGTGATGGTGATATAACCTAGGAACTGGTAACAGGAGGAAGTCACTACCAACTCAGCTGAGAAGAAAGAAAAGAGGGGTTATAACCAGAGCCAGGAACTACAGTCAACTGACAAAAGCTAGACCCAAGGCAAACCTATCCAGAAGGACCTAGCAGCTCAGACATGGTACGGGCACTTCCAGAGACTTCTTCCAAATAGAGAGGGACAGGAGGCCACATTCTGGCTTTCCCCTTTTCCAACCACCTATCTCCTGCCTGGGACTCCCAGGAGCAGAACAGAGGCCCAGAGTCAGCTGACCTTGGAGCCTGAGAAAGTCAACCTGCAGGGTTCACCCTCATGCCCTCTGTCTTCCCCCCACCCAGAGCAGAGTAGAGGAAGAGTGGGGAATGGATCTAAGGGCAAACAGCCCCAAGGCTGGCACTAGATCAAGTCCGAAGGCAGACTATGGCAAACATTTTGGTTAGGGGAAAAAACTTGATTTTTCATTAAGGCATAAAAGTGTTAACAGCAAAGAGATTTGGCTATCTTTTCAGCATGGCTGGGACTGGAGTCCATGTGAAGAAAGGGATATTGATGAGATCATGAAGGGCCTTGCATGCCATGCTAAGGAGCTTGAAGTCTATTTTATAGGTGGTCATATAGAACCAAAATTATGTCTTGAAAAGAAAATGCTGGCATCGTTATATATGTTATCATGGCGGGTGGGGAAGGATAGGTTAGAACCCGTTTGCCAAAGGCTGATGTAGTAAAGGCCTAACTTGGTGGGAGGGTCAGTGAAGCTTTGGAGTGGTCCTACCGTAACTACAAACTTAATAGAGATTCACATTCTAGCGGTGTAGACTCCAAACCAATGAGATTTGTGAGGCCCTAGACTTGTCAGACAATACTCTGAAAATGCTTTTTCATTTCATGCTTTAAAGTTTCTTTAGAAGTAGGGGGATAGGAGTGTAAGGGGTCTGGAAACACTATCAGAGAAAAAACAATGGAGATGTTTACCTTAGAGATAAGGAATCAAGTCTCATTGAAAAGGTGAGTTACCTTTAGAACAACAGGCTCTCTAGAGTCTATGACCCAAGGGAAAGGTTATCTAGTTAAGGCCCTTCTGAACAGAGGCCCCAGAAAAAAAAAATAAGACACACTGAAATCTATTCATTGCTTTATTCATTCTTTCCAGGAGTCACTACATTTTAGGATGGAATGAGTTTCAGCCAGGGAGGAGGAGACCATCCTGTCATCACAGCAAATGTGAAAGGGCCTCCTGAAAGGTAGAACGACAGTAATAAAAATAAGAGCAGGTTACATGTAATTAGCACATTCCCAAAAATAGTCACTCCTATTTAGCCGCCATTTTACTGACAGGTAATCAAAGTCTCAAAGTGGTTAAGTCCAATCACAGAGCTGGTAAATGGCAAAGTCACAACTAGAAAATAGGTCTTGCCCTGGTCAGGAAGTTCAGTTGGTAAAATATAACAAGTTTGTGGGTTCGAACCCCAGTCAGGGTGCATGTAAGAATCAACCAATGAATGCATCAATAAGTAAAACAACAAACTGATGTTTCTCTCTCTCTCTCTTTCTTTTTTCCTCTTCCTCTCTCTCTAAAATCAATTTATACATTAACATTTTTTTCTTTAAACCCACAGGTCTCTGTTATTCACATATTCCTACTGGAAATGTAGATACTGCACTTTTCTCAAGATTACTGAACATGCAAACTTTATATGAGCCATCAGTAAGGGGGAAATACACATTCACAAGTGTGCATGGGGTGAGGTAGGAGCTGCATAAGCATTCAGGGTAGGTGAGCCCTGCCTGTGACAAACTACTCCACAAGCTGTAGTTACCAGCAGTTTCTTCACGGACTCAGAGGCCTCTGGGCTCAGCTCGTTCACACAATTCTTTAGCCCTACTATGATGTGCTCAACAGAAATGCCCAGATTCTCCAGTAGACTCTTTAATTGATCCAGAAGGGGGAGAGAATCCAGAGGTAAAGGTACGGCATTCTTGACACTGCTGAGGAGGAAGGCGGTAGCTGCAGAGCAAAAGGGAAACTGAGTGAAAGAGGATCATCTGCTCCTGTCTATGACCTCACCACGTTCCACTCTGTCCATCACGGCTCCATTCCGGCCATGCTCATCTTGACTGCCCATGAAAACTTCTGCCTTGGGGCCTTTGCACCTGCTGTCCCAGTTCCCTAGAACTTTCTTTCCCCAGATAGCTACATTATTTGGTCTCTCCTCAAAAGTTACAGTCTTAGAGAGGTATCAAAAATGGCACGCCTGTCACCCTCTATCTTTATTTTTTCTTACCACTACCTAGAATATCAAATCTTTTTGTTTTTGCCTCCCTCCTCTCATTAGAATGTAGGCTCCATGAGGAAAGGAACTTACGTTTTACTCACTACTGCACACCATCCTAGCTCACCGTACTGCACCTTGGCAGGTAGTAAGCACTTAAACGATACTAGTGATTGACTGAATAGGGGTGTACTTTACATGTGAATTGAAATGCCATAAGCAAACTCCACTTGGGGCCAGGAATGGATCCAACCACAGCCCAGGAAACTGTTCCCAACCAATTTAACTCAATGCTATAAACATAATTGAACAATGACTCTGTACCAGTTGGTATAGCTACATAGATGCCTAAGATAAGAACACTCCATTCTGAGAGCTCACATTGTCTGGTGGACAATATAGATCTGTGCACACCACAGTGCTGCATATTAAGGGCAATGCTCTATGGGAATACAAAAGAAGGGATGACTAATTCTGCTGTGGGTGAGTGTTGCAGGAATCTTGGAAAATGCCAGAATCGCAAGATAAAGACAGGAACAGATTTTTTAAAAGAACATAATTAACAAAGGCACTGAGATATTAAAATGAAAGTACATGTGCAGTGTAGTGAGTCTTCTGCCCAGAATGGCTGGAGTGCAGAACTCCAGTGGGGTGTGATGAAGAGGGATAAAGGGGGTGAGGCTGCAAAATTCAGGTGAGGTCAGGTTTGTCAAAGCCTTGAATGACATACTAATGAGTTTGAGGTGTTGTTTTTGTTTGTTTGTTTCCTGAGGGCAATGGGAAACTATCAAGGCATTTATATGAGACAACTGCATTTTATATCTTCAGTTTTAGAAATGTAACTTTCATGTAGAAAACGAGTCAGGAGAAAAGTATAGAGAATGGAAAAATACGTGCATTTTTATAAAATGCGTGCAGATATGTAAACATACTTGTGCATGAACAGATTTATAAGAATTCCTATTACATATTCTCCTGCTGGCTAAGACCCTGCCATAGTTCATTTTCCTCTGGAATCCGTTTCATGTACCCGTTCAAATCATAAAAAATTGAGTCTGTTCACCTTCACCTTCTACTACCACCTATTTTCCCTCCAGAATTCCCTTCCAGTGAACGATATTTATTTCCCTCCACCCATCTTTCAGTGGTCACTTCTGTCAATGGATGTTTGTCCCTGGAAACTAAAGAACAAAAATAGCTGAAACTGATGAAATTACAGATTTGCCAAAAATTTCAAAAGCTGCCACTTAGTTTCTCATGACTGATCTCTACTTCTTAAACACTTTGGTATCTTCTCTGTATGTAGTTATATACTTCTGGGGGAAGGCTCTGCAATGCTTTCTGTTCTCTGAATGAGCAATGACCATCACTGAATGTGTCAGTTCCCAGTGTCCGCCAAGAAGCCAGCCTCTGTACCCGACCCAGACATTGAACAGTTCGCCCTCACTCTCCCAGGGCTCTAGCTGAATACCACTGTACTCACTTCTGCAGAAGTCTTCTCCCCCTTGCCACACTAGAGGCACCCTAAGAACAATATTTATGTCTGATCCACCTCTGAATCTTCCAATGCTTATCCAGTGCCCAACAAGTTGTAGCCATTCAATAGATAGCCACTGGGGTATTGGGCTAGGGCAGTGGTCGGCAAACTGCGGCTCGCGAGCCACACGCGGCTCTTTGGCCCCTTGAGTGGGGCTCTTCCACAAAATACCAACTTCTGCGCATGGGCCACGAAGTTTCAATCGCACTGTACGTGCACACCCGCACGTGGTATTTTGTGGAAGGGCCACACTCAAGGGGCCAAAGAGCCGCATGTGGCTCGCGAGCCGCAGTTTGCCGACCACTGGGCTAGGGTTTAGATTGGGGTAAGTGGAGTACATCTGAAAACCCTTCCAACTTTACCATTCTGTGATTCTAAAACTCCCTCCACCATATACCACTGGAAGCCTGGGCTGACTAGTTGTGTCCTATTAAGAGAAAAGTAGAGAAATGTCATACGTTCCAGGCTACTTACCAGAGTAACTGCAAATGCCAACGGTCACCAGCAGGAATACAGTGACTAGCTTCATGGTAGGTTACCTGTGATATCTCTGCCCGGAGTTAAAAAGTAAATCTGCCAAGGCAGGGGTCTCACGTGCGTCAGCAAGTGTAACAGTGGCTTTTGCACACACGCATATTTATACACCTACCGAGGGCCTGAATTTCAGTCGCTGCCACTTGATTCGCTGCAGCAAAAAAGGGCATGAAGGTCATGTTTGTCACTTAAACAAATGGGAGGTTTTTCCGTCTTTCCCTCATGTTCTCATGAGAAACAAAGCCCTAATTTAAAGCATTCTCAAGGACCTCTTGCAGAAGCCCTTGCTAAACAAAACAGATGCCAGAGGTAGACAAAGAGCTCTAAGAATCCTTTTTCTGAAAGAATATTGAAAAAGAAGGGAAGGTTTTGCATTGACAAGAGGAGTGAAAGTTCTGTTGTTCCTCCACCTTTCTACTTATTTAGTTTGGAGAATCGCATTACCCAGTGAACTACCCAGTTGAGGAAGCGGTCTGGAGGTCCCATCAGCCTGGTACAATATGGACTCAGCTTAATGACATCTAGTGCCATATTTCTGTAGAACTTACCTCCACCCATCCCAGCTCCACTCACACATTTACTATGGCAAGATCTCTGACCTTTGCTAGTGCCTCCAGTTGTTTTGGGAAACCCTAGGGTGTGCCTTCTCTGTGCCCTCAGATGGAATAATAAGCTCAGGATCTAAAATAAAAATGCCTTTTTAAAAACTTGGGATGCAATATTTTCTCTTTGTGTAATCTTGGATTAGACATTTTTATTTTACTTTATAGTATTAGTATCCTTATCTAAAATGGGGACATTAACAGCAGGACAGTCCCAAAGATGTGACTCTAAGAAAAACTTTATTTTGCCAGACCCTATCTATATAAACAAGATGAATTGCTGAAATATGCCTATTAGAACCATCTGGTAGTTCAAGCCCTTGCAATCATGCAAAAGGAATGCTGAGCTGGCCACAGAAACAATCTGCTGGAAAGGCTGCCCTCCTGGAACCAGGACTGTCATGGGGACTCAGGATGACCCTGTTAGGAAGCCCAAGTCTTGGAGCCCCTTAGGGAACCTGGTGCCTCATAAGCAAGGAAGAGGAAAAAAGAACCTTGTAGGCAAGAAACAGAGAACAGGGTTCTCTGGCCAAATGGCACTAATGGCCCCAGCAATCCTCACTATTTAGGAAGGACTCTGAACACTTTCAGGAAGATATGCTATGGCACAGTCCCCTTAAGGTGCAAGGCTAGGGGTTGGGGCCTAACTTGAGGATGTCATATTGTGGTGAGGATTTAATGAAATTATGTAGACAGAGGATGCAAATGAACCAAACCAAGATTAACACTTAATAAGTCTCTCCTATTATTAACTCCTATAAGTTACTGAGCTACCATGGCTATTTCTTTATGTTTCTGCTGCATTGCAAACTGCATGTAGGAGATCATGTAGTATTACTGCCACTCATACTCAGTCCTGCTACTTCTACTGCTTTCTCTGCAAGAGATGGCTTCCATTTTTCCTGGGTATTACCACTCCACCAGGTACACTGATGTGTCCAAACCCTCAAAAAGCAAGGTTGTGTGGCACAGTGGTGGTGAGTCCATGCCATTTTTATTTGCATGTTATAATCTTTTTATGGGACACTAATCAACACTGCCCTCATCTGTGCTTGTCATTTGCCTACATTTCCCCTCTTCTGCTCTGCTCTATACTGGAAGTTGAGTTGGTCATACTGTGGCTTCCAGACTTCCTTGGCCACTGTGTCTGGTTAGGATTAGATACTGGAAGGCACTGGTGGAGGCTGAATCTTCCCCATGGTTCCCTGTCCTTCCAAAAATGCCCTTTGTCTGTGCTCCCACCCAAGCCAGGCCGATCCACCACTGTCCCAGCTTCTGCTGGGTGGCTCCAGCTCTGGCCCCAGCTTCTTACTCTGCTCCTCCAGGCCAAGAAGCAGGGAACAGCCTCCAGCATTTTCTAATCTTAGGACAGACTCACCTCCACCACTACCACCACCACCCCTATTGCTTTAACTGTATTTCTAACATCTTGTACATTATCATCCAAGTTAAATTTTTCTTGTTTGACCACCTGGTAAGGTTTTAATTTCCTGGCTGGATTCTGACTAATGATGCATCCTAAAATACTGTACCACTTTTTGTAAAAACAGATCTTTCCTTTTTAAAACATAGGTCTCTCTCACACAAGCACCAAGTTATGAATCCATGAGGGGCAGGGCCAACACTCAACCAAGAGAAATAGAGCTTTATACACACACAGATGTTTCTCCCTCCCAAACTGTGCAGCACTTTGTACTGTTTCAAGTTTGTCTGCTGGTCCCAGAGGTGAGTTCTTTCCTAGACCCCTTTGCTAATAAAGTTCGGATGGGCCTATCAAATAGATATGCGGTTTTGGCCAAAACCTAATAGTAGACATGGATGGCTTACACTAAAGGTTAGAACCGGCTCCACACTAAACACACCTGTACAGTCATCAAGCACTAGTTTTCACTCATTTAACAGATATTTATTGAGCATCTACTGTGTGCTAGGCACTATACCAGGAACTAGAGCTGGAGGAGTAAACCAGGCAAGCAAACTTCATGCCTTCATGGAGCTGAAAGTGCAATGGGATAAACAGACAATACTAGTAAACAGGTAAACAAAGAAAAGAACTAAAGGTCATTGCTATGAAGAAGCAAATAGGGTGATATGCTAGTGAATGAGTGGATGGGGAGTCTAGTCCAATTTAAGAAGAGACTTGGACATGGCTAATAGGGCTACTTCCATCCTTCCTATGAACTGAGTCATTGTATTAATCACATCTTTTTATCTTGGGGACTTGCTGACCCTGGGGATAATGCCCCTGCAGGGTGAGCTAATTCCTAGAGACAGCAAACAATGCATTTGGAAGTGACCTTTCAAATGCAAACCCACCAATCCAAAGCTCACATTGTCAACCCCCTCCTTTATGGAGCTCTGACCCTCTAGTTTACTATCCCTCTCCCCTGGCCTTGAGGGCCAGGTACCAGAAAACTAGGGATAGCCCTTTCACCCTGTGCCCATTGAAATTATTCAAACTAGCCTATCCTAACCCCGCTTACCCTGTCTCTCCCATCCCTTCCCATGGGAACCACAATATAGGCTGTGCCCACTTACTGCCCCACCTGACAAACCTGGTGTTTCCTGTGTGGCATGCCCACCCCTCTTCTAGGGATCTGTGATTTTAACAAACTTTTCAATGGCAGTCATCTCCTGATCTGTTAGCCTGAATAATAATAAAATATATTTTAAAACAGCCACGTAGCCTTTTCTTGTACTGATGTTTTCTCTTTGCAGCATAATTATGTGAATGTATTCTTTCCCAGGACTAATTTGTAAACATCTTGAGGGGGGGTTGTCTTGTTCATGTTTGGATTCTACACACTTGATAATATTATTAGGAACCACTAATCTGTGCTAAGCACTACACTTTGCTTATGGTTTCCATTTAATTCTCACAAAACCACTGATGATAAGAGCTTTCCTCCCATTTTATGCATGATAGTCTGAAGCTGGAAGCAATGAATTAATTGCCAAGGTCACTCAGACATAAATAACATGGCCAGAACTTGAGTCCTTTCTTTTCTGATTTGTATTTCTTTACCTTTAAATATTTAATTAATATGCATTTCCAGTAAGCATTTGTGAAACAAATTAATTTATGAAGAGACATGAAAGGAAAAAGAAATGAATGTCAGTGATTCTAAATTAATTTTGGATGTGCTTTTCGAATGGATTTCTTGTGGAGATTAAATTTATAATCGGGAATGGAAATTCAATTAGCTATTCCATTCAACAACTATTTGTTGAGCATGTTTGGTGCATTTGGCCCTGTGGTAGATTCTGGAATGTAGCAATAGAAAATTGGGCATGGACCTTGTCTCATTTTAATTAATGGACACTGTTAGAAGCAAGTCGGTAAGTCTTTATTTTTTCCCTCTGTAAGAGGAATGGCAATTATAAAGAGGTCACCTGCATGTAGATGCAAGACACTGATCAAGAAAAAGAAAAAACTCAGCCTGAGATTTCATCTCTCTCTCTTCCTTCTAGCTAAAAGAAGACGGTCATCAGAAATGTCAAACTATTGCCTCGTATTTTCTTTACTTGCTGCAAATTGGACCGTCAAAAGTCACCCAAACTTAAGTCTACATAAAAAGGGAAAAAATTGTCTTCAAATTTGTCTTTAAAAGCACAAGCATATAACATATAATCAAATGTCACAGCTCAGTGTATCAACTTCATAAAGCTTGGAGAAAAGCAAAACTATCTGTTCCTGGCTGCTTTCCACATCGATCCTCCCCATTTAGTGCAAGCAAATCAGTCCATTGTCATTTGAGGCTAACTTTTAGCTCCTTTTCTAGGCACTGCAGAGAAATCCAAATGGAATGGGAGCACAGGAGGATTTCATACAAGAAATGACCAAGACCAAATAGAAGCAGAATCTAGGGAACAATCAGAAGGAACATAAGTGATCAGTCCAGGCTTGATTTTCCGATGAAGGCTTCCTGAATTCAAGTGGTTCTTGAATCCACAAATTTGGATAAGCAGAGAGGATGAGAAATAAAACCAGTATCTGCAATGTTTTATCTTAGAAAACAATTTGAGACAAGCAGGTGGGCTGAAAAGAAGGATGCATGCACAGGGTGTCTTTTATCTTTCTGTGCCAGGACTATCTGACCACAGCAGGTGTCAAGCACGTGTTTAGTTTACAATCAAACAAACAATGAGTTGTGTCAGATGAGTCTGATGTAAATGAATGGCTATAAAGGGATAAACTCTAAGTTTTATCTGGCAATATTTGATCAATATGGGTTCTTGAACAGGGGAAAACCTGACCATAGGAGTTTATAAAGCAAATTAGTGCTAGGGGAGGCAGAAAGGCCTTTCAGTGTCCTGGACTCTGGGTCCAGATGACCATACTGCCAATCCATGGCCTACTCCCACATTCACAGCTAATTCACTGCCTTTTGAGGGGACCAGGACAGCATCTGCTACCCTTACTTCCAGCAAGATGTCAAGCCTCACAGAGGACAGATCTTCCGTGTCCAGCAAGCACTCTCCTTGCCATG